ACGCACTTTCATGATTCCTGAACCAAATCAGTGAACAGATCAGTTTTTCAATAAACCAGCTGAAACGGTTCAGAAATCTGATCTAATTATCTAATTTTACTCACTTGGTTCATTTGGACTGCTTTTAAAGTGATACTTTGAAAGCTATCTGATACTTTTATTTTTTATTTTATTTTTCCGATTTGTAAGTTAATAGCAGCTGTGGAATGGAAAGAGCTGCATCAATATTATTTGAAATATTTTTTGTTCCACAGAAGTAGTTTTGTGGGTTTGAAATGAACTAATTTAATAATTGACTATCTTTACAATGGAACTGAATCAACCCTGAACTGACTTCAGCTGAACAATGACACTGTTTTCTTTTCTTTTTAGAGTTCGCATTCAACTATGTTGCATTGAATCATTATTTTCCTATTGATCACTGTAAAGCGGCTTTGAAATAATATGTATGGTATAAAGAACTATAAAAATAAAGTTGACTTGTCTCGACTTTAAATTATGACGAGGGTGAGGGTTTTTTTTGTTTTGTTTTTGGCATAGTCATATCTTTAAGCCCTGCCTGTTGTGTTTTTTTCAGTAATAAATCACTGGTGCCTTTTGGCCCTTCTTTTTTTTTTACCACCTTCAAATTGATAATTGGGTTTTGAGGGAACATAGGTGCACTGGGACCTGACGGTAGATTACTTCCTTCTCTCACACCCTCAAACAATTAGTTCCCCCTCTTCATTCTCTTCCGTCACAGCCAACACAACAGCTTTCCAGACAAGCATTATAGCAATGAAACTCAATCTAATCCACCTCATTATACTCCAGGGAAAGTGTTAACATTTAGAGGAGAGGAAGCCCTGGCAGTGGACAGATGCAGCTTGGCAAGCTCATTCCTGTCTTGGCTTCCTATCCGTGTGGCTGATGTCTGACTGTGGGCCGGACGAGGAAGCCTGGCGCTCTCTCACACGCAGCCCAACCCAAGTGGGCTCTCACTTTGGGCACCGGCTTTACTGGAGCTTAGAGAAGAACCCACATGGTCTCAAAATACACAACAGCACTCCTGGCTAAAACAAAGGTCTGATTGTTGAGTTGGAGCCCTTGGATGGAAGGGGTCTCATTCTTTTAGAGAGATGAAGTAGTTCGATTTCGATTACTGCCTGTTGGGTAATCAGGATTTGGGCTTAATTATGTCCTTACCTTCCCCCTGAACTTTCAATAGTTTTTACTTTTGCCATTCTGACTTTGTATATATATTTTTTCTCTATTGGATTGAGGTCTGGTGACTGTGGTGGCCATTTGAGTATAGTAAAACCCATTTGCGATTTTGTGACTTGGATCATTATCCTGCTGGATGTAGCCATCTTAAAGGGATGGACATGGTCAGCAACAACACTCGGACCCAAAGTGTTTTAAAAAAAAATCCCCCACCCCATTACACCAGCAGTGGCCCGAACTGTTAAGGCGGAATGGATTCATGTTGTTTATGCCAAATTCTGATCCTACCATCTGAATGTCTCAGTAGAAATTGAGATTCATCAGACCAGGCTACATTTTTACAATCTTCTATTGTCCAGTTTTGGTGAGCCTCAGTTTCCAGTTCCAGTACAGACCTCGGTTGTAACAAATGGTTATATGAGTTACTGTTGCCTTTTATCCAGCTCGAATCGGACCATTCTCCTCTAACCTCAAAAGGGCATTTTCGCCCACAGAACTGCCACTCATTGAATATTTTCTCTTTTTTTGGACCATTCTCTGTAAACCTTAGAGATCCCAGTAGATCAGCAGTTTCTACAATACTCAGACCAGCCCGTCTAGCACCAACCATGCCATGTTCAAAGTAACTTGATCACCTTGATCCCCATTATGATGCTCAGTTTGAACTTCAGCAGATCATCTTGACCATGTCTACATGTCTAAATGTATTTTAGGTGTTGTTGCCATGTGATTGGCTGATTTAGATATTTGTATTTACAGGTAATAACGTGGCCCGTTGACTTATCTATGTTACGTGTGTGCTTCATTCTGTCTTGTCCTATAGCTCAGATGGTAGAGCATGGCACTAGCAACACCAAGATCATGGGTTCCATTACCATGGAATGCATTAATTGACAAAATGTATACTGTTGTTTCATGAAAAAAAGAAAAAAGAATGGGGTTGGAACAACATGGATCAGTAAATGATAACTATTAACGTGAAAATTCACCAAAAATAAAAATTCTGTCATCATTTACGCCCATGTTGTTCCAAACCAATATGACTTGCTTTCTTCTGCAGAACACACACAATGATATTATGAAGAATGTAGATAACCAAACAATTGGTGAAGAGAAAAAAAAAAAAGGCATGAGGTTGGAGTGACATGAAAGATTTTTTTCCCTTTCAACTTTTAGTAATAACCTGGTTCACACTCATTTGTTGTGTTTAAATGGTTGGTAAGGCTTGCTGGAATAATGGAGAAGCAGATAAAAAAAAATTACAATTACACAATTATAAGGATAGGCAGTTGTGCTGGATTAATAATAGGTCCTGGAAAAACCACTGGGCATTTGCCAATTAAAAATGGCAGATTGAGTTATGTAATTATGTCATAGGGCGGCTATATGAACAAATCTTGGAAATAGCTTCAAAAATATAACCAGTTAAGCCGATTATATTTTTCAAAAGTGTCCCCTTGGGAGTCTCCATAGTCATAGTCTCCACAGAAGTAACTAAACCAGCCTGTCCTCTTAAAATTGGGCTTAAAAATTTAGTCTGGGTGGAGACCAAGAACAATTGTCCTTAATGAGTGTCTCCATCTAAATTACATTCTGTACGATAGAGAGAAAGTGTTGTGAAAATAACTTTTTTTTTTTTAACAATTGTTTGATTCGGATCCAGATCCAGCCCACATTTGGTAATGTACTTGTTGAACCCACATTTACCGGATGTGGGCCGATATATTTTGCTGTCTGGGATAGGCATACCTGTTCGTGGCTGGTTAAGCAGACAGGTCTTAGAGGTAATTTGACTACTTCTTTAGATGGTCAGGCTGGGAGACCAGCTGAACACCAGTTTGGCCAAGCTTGGAGACTACATCCAGCTAAGACCAGCCAACTAGCTTAGCCTTGCCATGTTATGGTTTCCACCATTATCTGATATGAATAGCAACCATTATGCCTAATGTTACCATTTCCAAACTTTAGTAACATTATTTCATAACAATAATAAACAGGAAAAAACTGCCTCTGCCGAGTGGCATCTGTCTAAACTAAAGCTGGTTAAGATGTATAATGGCTTCCTCTATCCAATTGCATCTGGTTAGAACATCTCAGCTAATTAAAACATTGCAAGAACATTTTGCTAACATTCCTATTACAGTAAGTAATGAAAAAAATGTATTTCTGAATGTTCCCTGAGAATTTTTTCTTGGTTATATGAACGTTAGGGGAACACGTTAGATGAATGTCCAACTAAAACGTTCCATGGACAATGTATAAATAATGTTTTAACGTTTTGAGAACATTATTAAAGACCAGTTAACCGTGAATGAAAATTCTTTTAATGTTACTGGAAGAAGATTTGTTCATATATTTGAGAGAATCTTGCCAAAATCTTTGACAAAGTTCTAAGAAACTTCTCTGTTAGCTGGAACAGTGCGACTGGTTGTGCTGGTTCTTATTAAACCCTGTCTCTTTTTTTTTTTGACAAGTTTCTTGTAAAGTTTTTTTTTTTTTTTTTTTTGCTGTGCAAAAGCAACACCACAGTCTTCATACCCCTCACACAAACCCTGGGTGTTTAGTTAGTATGAGGTTTCACCTTCTCCACTCCAACCTTTTTGTAATTCGAATTTAATTAATTTTGAGGGGAGAGAGATGGAAAGTTCAGTTCGTTTTTATCTGGCTGATTTTCTGGAATAGCGAGGGGCTCTGCTACAGTGCAGAGAGTCACGAAGAATGCTAATAATTCTGAAAGGCTTACAGTTGGCCGACAGTAGTCATGGCGATGGCTCCTGTACAATGGAGGCCTTTTAAAGAGGCCGATGGGGAGGGGGGCCGTTCTCATCCACTCAGCGATGCGGTGATATTGTGGCCGGGCATTTTCCACTCTCCCCTGAGCTGTTTGTTATGGGATTAGGTGCCGCCTGTAGTGATCTGCACCATTCTGAGGTTAAAGTCTCTCTTTTAATAGTGTTTTAATAAAGTGCATACTATGAACCCACTGTCTTTACGAGAAGGGAGCTTTATCAGCTTAGATTTAGGTTGACTGTAGGACTATAAAATATGTAGATACCCATACATTGTTGAGCAACTTCAACTCTTCTGGGAAAGCTTTTTTTATTAAGCTTGTTTGTTCTCTTCATATGAATAAGTGCATCCTATGTTGGTAACTGCCCCTCTGAGAGTGAGGTGCAAGTATGAATGAATAAGCTTCCGTCTCTACACCATATGCGGCCAATTCAGATGTCACGTCACACAAAGACTATAGCAAATGCTAGCACAAAGAATTATGTGTAGCTTAACACATTTTTCCTTTACTCTGCTCTGCTACTCCTGACCTTTTGAGTTTGATTATTACACATTTTCATTCAGTTATGTTTTTGGAGAGAACAATGTGTGCTCTTGTAGGAAGCAGCGTCTGTCTCGGAAAAGTCATTCTAAGAGGAGGCCTTGTTGAGTTTCTTCTTACAGCTGTCTTGTTCAGGAAAAGAAAGGCGTGTCTGATTAAACCTAATTTTCTCACTTATTCATCATATTGAATTACATCACCATATGCGCAATAATCATGCTGGTAACAAGTATCTTATCTGAAGGTATGAGAAATGTTATATCATGCCAATGGTATCACAACATAGTAATGTTTGATGAAATTCCTGAAAATGTGGTATAAGGCATCACGGGTTGGTTAATAAATAGCATGATACTGGAGATTTCGAGAAACAAACAGTCTTTAATAATAAATCCAACAGGGAACACGTAAGAGTTTGTTTAAACAAACTAACAAATGGAAACGGACTAGTAAACACAGACGGGCAGGCACACAGGGCAAATTAAAACAAACAAGCCGACCATTAACCTGATATTACAACCCCTTTCCCCACGCACAGAGGTGGAGACCCAGGCGACGCTGAAGAGTCAAAGGGGCCGAATGACAGTAGTTCCTGGGGGAGCCAGGGCTAAGCCACGGTGGTGAGTGGCCGAGGTGGAACCATGGTGCCGGAGGACTGAGGTGCATCCGATGGGACCAAGAACCAAGGCAGAGCCCAACAGAGCCAAAGGAGTGAAGGTACAAGGTGCCGCTGAAGGTCTGAAAGTCTGTGGCACAGGCAACTTGACGACTGACCAAGTTGGAGCTAGAGGGACAAAGGAGCCAGATGGAGTCGTTAGGATCACAGTCCTAGGTGGAGCCAAGCGGGCAAGGAGCAAAGGTGGAGCTGACTGGTTGACAGGCCGAGGTGGAGTTATGGCTCTACGGCTAGAGGCAGAGCTAGGGGACCTGTGCACCAAGGGGTAGCTGGCAACCTGAAGACTCAAGCCGGATCCGGGCAACAGAGTGAGGAGAAGACAAGGGACTGAATAGAGCCAGCGGAGGCATAGACAGACAAGGTGGGAGGGACCAGCGGAGATTAAGGAGAATCGGACAAGAGAGAACAGGAAAATCCCTCTTCCGTTTCCTCATCCAATTTTCCTGGAACCAAACTTGTGAAGCTCACCCTCAGTGGTGGAAGTACGGGCGAGGCTCCAGTCCATGCCGTCAAACTCCACAAGGATGCCCTTCTTGATGGATGTTGTTGCCCGGCTCACGCACCTGGTCCGGGCTCTTGGCTCTTGGGGGCATGGCTAATGTCTGGTTTGGCTCTGGGTCAGGAGCGGAGCTGGGGTTGGCCTTGTCCAAAAGGCAGATGGAGGTGACTCACAGGTAACCAGCACCCACTTCTCAGTTTGTTCATTAAGGTTACACCGGAAAAAAACAAAGGCAGAGTGATCCGAGAAGTGTGTTAGGCACGCCGATTCTAAAAAATCTCTTGTGCGGTCCTCGAGGGAACTATGCTCCTGCTCCAGGCAAAGAAGGCAGACCGCTGGTAAGTCCATTTCTTTAATAATTTTTTTAAGGGGTTCAGTGTTTTAATCAATCAGGGAACACATATGAGATATGTTTAGAAATGTAAACAGAGACAAAACAACAGAACTCAAGGCTTAAAGGAGCCGTATGTCAGACTGTGGCCAAAACTGGCACTGCAATCAATTTCAAATTACTGTAGAGCAGTGTATCCCCTCCCCCCTGACTTGAGGTTGCCAGATCCAACATTTTTTTTAACAACACATTTTTAGCTGCAGCTGTGGTAACTAGAGCAGAGCTGGCAACCCAAATGCCACAACACTACTGACTTCATGATTGGTAGATCGGTGGAGCATCAGACCAAAACACAACATGACAACATCAACATCAGTCGAGGGCTGCAACTTCACTTTTTAAATGACAATATCCAGGCTGGACTACTGTTGTTAGTGATAGAAGTATTTGAAATTAACATGATTTCTTAATGTCTTGTGACATTTCAGGGCCATTTTCTTATTATTTGAAACACATTTCTTGCATACAGCTCCTTTAAATATATGCAAGGGGTTCTTATTAACAGAAACTGAAACGGGTGTGTAACATAATCAGTTGCCAAGACACTAACTAGTGAATAAAGGCAAACAGGGCAAACTAAACTAAAACACAAACAAGCTGAACATAAACCTGACACTGTAATTCCTTTTTTTATCCCTTTAGCTAAAAAATAAGAGACTCGTGTAATGTGTTATACATTTAAAAAAAAAAAAAAAAAAACGTTGTTGAGCAACATAATAATACACATTAGTATCTTAGCTCAGTATCACTTAGATTTTTTTTAATCAATGCACATTTTTGATCATGAAGGTAACTCTGTCTGTAGTCACATTGTGATATTAATGTTCAAAAAATATAGCTTTATCCTTGTACTTGTTAAATAGTTGGACTAACAAATCTGTTTTCCATTTTTCTTTACAAATAAAGTTTTCAGCTGAATTTGCATTTCAAAGTGGATCAAGACAACCTAAAAGTTATATAAATAACAATACAGTGAGGAATATATTCACACGCACACACGATGGATAATGTTGAAGAAAGAGCAGATGTTCCACTTTTGTGGTGTGGCCTGTGTGTAATGATATTCTTGTACATACCCAAATGATGGTTTCCACATGGTACATTAATTTTTAATTTGCTATGTTTATTTCAGCAGTTTCTTATAGGAAACCAACTCTTCTGTATCTCATTAGGTAGAAGGGTTGGACAGTGAGTCATAAAGTCAGCTCTGTTGGACACAGCCCTTGGTGACTATGTGGGGCCCTTTATAAAATCGTTATAAATATGTGGGATGTTTAATTACGCCCAGGTGGAACTACAGCACACAAGTCCTGGAGCTCCTATCACCTGGTGAGAGAGAAATGACACCCTGTGCTCATTAACGTCTCCTGGCCACAGACTGCTTGGCGAATCCTGATAATGGCCAGGATTTTATGAAGAGAAGCTGTGGTGGTCTGCATTTAACAGACCTTGAGTCTTATTTAGGTAGCTGTTTTTTTAAGACAGAATTAAGAGGAATAAGTCCAAAATGTGCAGACATTTTAGAAAAATGTTTACTGAATCAAAGTTTTGCCTGAGCTCATTGTTTTGATAACATGGCAGCTGCCGGCACCAAAAAACTTTCAAAGGAAAATAACATTTTATCCCACACAGAGTTAGATTTCAATGCTGTTAAAAAAACCGAATGAGCCAATGTTTGTTTTCAGATAGGGATTTCTGCTTCAAAAAGAATCATGTTTTGAGATCTTATTCCCTGTGTGTGGCGGGATGAGAATCTACAGGACATGTTTTTGACAAAATAGACAGGCTATATGAAATTCTTGCCCGTTCATCGTCATGTTATCATCTATCAGAGCTTGTGGACTCAAACAAGAGGTCCCGACGCCAAACACGTGGCTCGCTCATGGATAAATATCTGTGGACATCCACAGATATTTCATTTTAGAAAATAGAGAGGCCTAAAAGAGGGTATCTTTCTGTGGGGATGGCCAAATAATGTAATTATATGATTGAAATACCAGATATGTTGTAATTATATGATTACAGTAGAAATAGCAGAGATGCTATAATTATGATTATGACAGCTGATGCGGTCATTCTCCAGGAAACCATACTTCTTATATCTTTCCAAAAGCCTTAATGAACAGTTTGAGAGGCATACGCTCCCTGCCTTAGAAATTGCCACGTTGTTGTTAGGAATTATAGTAATTTGGGGAAGGAGGCTGCTGGATCACGACGGGAATGTGGGCTAATTGCTAAGTCGTGTGCTTTTATAGACCACAGGTTAATGGGCAGGCCGTTTTTATATAGCGCGTGCAGCAGGACGCCTATAGATTATCTCACTAATTGACTCGAGGGGTCAGATTTGGTTGCTGACATGCGGTTGATGTCAAATCTATAGCTAATGAGGTCATAGATTAGCTTAATTGACATGTTTTTTTTTTAGGTTAGCAATGTGCTGTGCTCACATCTTTACTTTTTGTTTTGTTTCTGTTTACATTTGAAATGAAGCAATGTGCTGTGCTCACATCATCCCCCCCCTTGCTTTTGTTTAAATCCGATATGAAGTATAAACAGATAAACTTAAAGGGACAGTTCACCATGCCATGAGGTATTCAAGCTTAAAAATGCACTATAAAATTATCATAAAAGTACTTCAGTAATTGCATGGAAAAGAATGCAATTTGGTAACACTTTACATTTGTTAACATTAGTTCACAAACCATCTAAACCATTCGTTAGTAAAAGTCAATTTCAGCTATTATTGATATATCACTAAAAACTAAATGTACTGTTAATATTACTTAAAGGTTGGTTTGGCAATTTCAGAGAGGCTAGCAATAGCTAGCAAGATTTGAAAGTATAAGATCCCACTTTCCCTTCAGAGCATCTCCAAAGACAAGCTTCCTTCAAAAATACATGAATCTTGTTATTTCGAAGATATTTTGAAGAATGTTGGTAACCAAACAGTTGATGGACGCCATTGACTTTTATACACTATGGAAGTCAATGGGGTCCATCGACTGTTTGGTTACCGACATTCTTCCTTTGTGTTCAGCAGAGTAAAGAGATTTGAAACAACTTGAGGGTGAGTAAATGATGTCAGAATTTCCTTTTTAAGTGAACTATTCCTTTAACTAATGGGACATTATTGTAAAGTGTTACCCGTGACTCTTTACACAAGTCATGCAGGTTTGACTTTGACATTTACTCAACAAGATGAAGCTGAGTAAATATTGACAAAACGTTTAATTTTGGGTGAACTGTTCCTTTAAATTCAGTGTCATTATGCCTGGTGTCATAACACTTAAGCTGTTGGTTTTTGAAATTGCAGGGATGTTTTTGTTTGCATTATAGCACATATGTTCTGTCTTATGTTCAAATAGATTGGCTTCTGAGTCCTGTGCTGGTTTATGAATACTGTGGCTTCCTGTGTCTTTGTCCTCTTTGAATCTGTAGATAAAGTAGACTGCCCCCAATTAGCCTCTCATTTCCTCGTCACTTTCTGTCTGAAGTTACCAGATTCCCCTGTGTGTGTGTGTGTGTGTGTGTGTGTGTCAGATGTTCCAAGAAGAGTAAGGCAAAAAACATACTGTACGCAAGTAGTTAAATGCTGACAATGCCAGTGCATTGCAATAGTCCCTTGTATTGTGTGTTCTTGTGATACTGCCGCAGTAACAAACCTCAATACTCAAGGCACCCATAAAGTTACCTTCAAATGCCTGTGTCATCCGCTTGTTAAGTTGTGACATCAAATTGGTCAACTGTTGCTGGGTCCAAGCCTTTACTCCATTTCAGTGAGAATACAGCCGTTTATGAGCACTATTTCATTTTTAGCACACCTTTAATAACTCACAACTACAGTAGTCTCTGGGCGTGTTAAATATTTTAATGATTCAGAAAAGATTAATCACTGGCTGGCCAACTGAGAGTACTGAAGGTTAGGATCATGATTTTTGTCAGACCGGATTAAACTAGATTAAACACCGCTGAGTCAAAGTGCCAAACAAACAGTGCAATCTTATTATCCAGTTCTTTTTTAATGAAGGAGAAACATTCATAAATCAAACAAAGTGCTTAAATAATCTCAATAATTTACTAAACAAGAAGTTATTACTTGCATCCTGGCTGACCGGAAATATGAGTTTTGCTGTAGTTTCCTATATATATTTGATTTAGCCTATACTTGGAGCCAATTTTAAAGGACTGCATTTATGGTGCTTCCAAAAAATGTAAGATGAGATTTATTGGTCTGATTGTGTTATTTTGGTTATTTCGAAATCCAAAATGATCTCATCATTTGGCAACAGAATTCTGAGGGAAGAAAATGTAATAAGAACTGCATTTCTTTTTTCCAAATATTTCTTCCTCAGAAGTAATTAACAAATAGTTAATAGCCACATTAAGGATCCAGAACCATTAGGAGAAATCAAAACTTTTCAGTTCCTTTCGATTCCCATCCATAACTGTATAATTGCGGTCTGAGGTAATTCGTAAACACAATGGCGAATGCAATCGAGGTTGCATATAGAAGCTTCTGCAAAGTATGCTTTAGCTGCTCTGCTCTTTCACTACATCCCAAATATGCCCTGTTGGATTTAGTAGCTGTGGAGGCCATTGTGGAGGCCAACTCATTGTCATGTTCTGATGTTTGACTTCAACAAAAATGGAACCTCATGAACTTCCTGATCTGCATACTTTTGTTTATTGGGTTGCTTTTGAGGACTGGGTCGCTGATGATTAGCTAGTTGCATTTGCAAGTGCACAAATGCACTTACTAAAGTGCCCATTTATTTGGATGTGGTTCTATTATCTTTAAAATGCAACAGCAGGCTTTTCTTGGCACTTTCTTGAATCTTGGAGCCAAAAATCCTGAGATTGACCTCCCTTATCCCGTGCCAGCCTGCCATGACCTCACCCTGTGATTGACACCGATTTTTTTTTATTCAGAACTGTTTGTTCTTTAAC